TGCTTCGTTGTGAGACTAAGAAGCGCGAAGCCTGAGACGAGTAACGCTACTGCAAGAGTGGCGTCCAGACCCCCTTCAAAACTAGCGCTTAGAAAAAGACTGTAAGCTTAGAAAGATGTTTATTTTTGATACCTGATCTGATCTGGTTTGTGCCAGCCCCACAATACTTGCGTTGATTGCGTACAAAATCTGGTTCCACGCAACCTATAGCGAGTAGAACAAAACAACAACAAAAAAACTTAGCACGTTGTCAACAGGAGGGGCATTAAGCGTAAACTTAAAAAAAAAAAATTCAGAAGGTGAATTAAGATCCTTTTTAATCAAATAAAACATGATCTAAATAACAGGGAATGTAGTAAACACACCAAACCTTCAATAACGGTTCTGTTCGGTCGTATTAATTTAAAATTTCTCCGATAAATCTGATTGGTTCTTGTGTAAAATCAGACAGGCGCCGATGAAAGGTCAGGTGCGTTTGAATGGGCTCCCTCCTCAGGTTATAAAATACATTCCACAAATCTCTTCTAAAATAAAACGCCCATTCATTACAGAATACCCTCATTAGCATAATTTTCGAGTTTCTCCTATAATGACATTGGGTCTTTCCTAACATCGTTGACCATCAGTTTTTGCGAGGTCTGGAACCGTACAATCGTAGAGTCTGGGATGGTCGTGAAAATTTGGAAATACCTCGAACATCCGACCGCATTCCGAGAATTTCTACAGCTGACCAACGGACAAAGGAAGACGGAAACATCAAGTTCACTACAGACGTCCCAAATGACCTGACAAAGCCCATTGATAACGCCTAAAAAGTCCTTCAGGAAAGCCCATTTAGAAAGTGTGAGAAAAACATCCCTGTTTCATTACCTCGGTATGTAAAACGTGTATTGCCAGACAGCTCCAAGGGATCTGGTAAGGAGTACACGACAGTAAAGATGCCATTCCGACGGGCGAGGCATCTTTACAAGGACCGCAAAGTTCTTCGTTCATTTTAATTCTACTAAAATACGACAGCAGTGTCAAAGATCGCTGGTCAGACGCTGAAAATTTAGCCCTGAAAAACACGAGGTGTTGTGTTAATAATTGTTATTGCATGGATAAGAAAATAAGAAGAGTTTAAATTCTCAGAGCTGTGTGCATTAACCGTGCAGGAAAGACCAAGTTCGGAAGTTCAAATTTTGTTAAAAAATTTCTTTGAAAGAAATCAAAAGTTAAAAAGCTGTCTTACAATCTTTGCTTCCTCAAGCTTTCTATCCTTGAAAATTCAAACTGAGGGAAGCTTCAATTGGTTAAAGCGGCTGCGTTTAAACCAGAAACAAATTTGAACCATAACATCTTTGTTATGAGATTTGAAATTCAATTTCAGTTAATCGTCCTTAGAAATATTAACTTCAGTAATTTTTTATCACCTAATTTCTAACTACTTTGATTGTGTATACAGTCGAACCTCCACTGTCGGCCATCTCTCTGCAACGGCCACTTATTTTCGTCCCGGCGGACGGTCTTTCACTCCTATTTTAACCTCTCCACAACGGCAGCGGCAACTAAAACGCATCCCGAATGCCAAAATAACCTCTCCACAACGGCCAGTTAATCAACGACTGACAAAAGGTGCATGTAAAACTCCAGTTGTGCTGTAAACGGTGACGAGAATTGGTCCAAACTACGCGTCGTTAGTTTCTGTTTCTGCTTGGTTTCTGTTTTATCGATAATTTTGATTGTTACGTATTTACATGCCACAATAAACTTTATATTAAGTTGCACCCTCGAAAAAATACTGTAGGTGTCATATTGCACTCCTAACTTCCCATAACGGCCACCTCTCTACAACAGCCATTTTCCTCTGTCCCCATAATGGCCGTTGTAGAGAGGTGTCCCCCCCNACTACTTTGATTGTGTATACAGTCGAACCTCCACTGTCGGCCATCTCTCTGTCCCCATAATGGCCGTTGTAGAGAGGTGTCCCCCCCCTTTTGGTATAATAGTTAAGTTAAAACGATTGAGTGAACAAATGACAGCTTACGTGCATGGATCTCCTATTGATTCAGATACACTGTCGATTTGTAAAATATCAGGAACACATGGCAGGCTGGACTTGTCGTTTGGATTTCCCTCCGAGTTTTCTGTACTATCTCTACCAAAACACAAAATATATTTTCAGCTCAGACATGTCATTAAAACAGATTCCTCGGAGATACCTATCTCTGTGGTGATCTCGTCTCTGAGGTAGCCTCGGCTTCTTTTGAAGACAGATACCTTACTAGGGAGCGAACACTTCACTAAGGAAGACAGATACTAAAGGAGGATGATACCTCTCTAAGCAAACCAATTCTCATTTCCATCTTTCCCATGGTGGAGATTACTCTAGCAAACAGATAACTCTTTAAGGCAGCTACATAGTTCTCAGGGACAGACTCCGCCTTCAGGGCAAACATAGTACCTCTCTAGGACAGACACCTCTCTAGAACAGACACCTCTTTAGGACAGACACCACACTAGGACAGACACCACTCTACAGCAGACACTACTCTATGCCAGTCATCTTCCTGAGGGAGACTTCTCAAAGACGGACACCTCTCCACCACAATCGCACAAACATCACTCTTAAGCAAACACCTCCTGTGCAGAGACACCTGTCCAATGCAGACACCTCTGTAGGACAGAAACCACTCTGAGCAGACACCACTCAGCAGCAATTACCTTCCTGAGGGAGACCTCTGTAAGACAGACCCCTCTCTACAACAAACATCACTCTTAAGCAAACACCTCCCTAGCAGAGACACCTCTCCAATGCAGACACCTTTCTTGGACAGACACCTCTGTAGGACAGACACCACTCTATGGCTGATACCTTCCTGAGGGAGACTTCTCTAAGACAGGCACCTCTCTATGACAGTCAGACAAACATCATTCTTAAGCAAACACAGGCCTCTCTTGCAAAGACACCTGTCCAATGCAGACACCTCTCTAGAACAGATACATCTCTCAGACAGAAAACGCTCTAGGACAGACACCTCTCTACAGCAGATACCTTCCTGAGGGAGACCTCTCTAAGACAGACACCTCTCTATGACAAACATCACTCTTGATCAAAGACCTCTCTAGCAGAGACACCTGTCCAATGCAGACACTCTGGAAGGCAGAAACTCTCTACAGCAAGCAGTATTCTGTTGAAGAGGTGGACAGAGGCATTTTGTTGAGGCTGAACTCTCCCTAAGATGCTACCCTATGTAAGACAGACACCTATCTAAGGTAGACACATCTCTAAGACAGACACTTGTTGGACAGCCACAAAATACTCCAAACAGACGAACACAAAGTTATTGCCAATAACAAAAAACCAAACTTTTCCTCAAACTCCACTGACCTTTGGTTGTCTGAATAATTTTTTTCATCGTCAACAACAAACGCCCATCCTGGTGTATTCATCAAAAAATCTTCTGTTAAAGGTGGCAAGTTCTTGTTTGTGTTTTCTTGAGATGTGTAATTAAACTGTATAATGTGGGAAGGCTGTACAATTCGTATCACATCCAGCAGTAGCGGTACTCCCATACCTTGGATTAAAATGGAAAACTAAGTGCTATTAGTTTCTTCTCAATCTCATTTATTTAATAATTCATCAAGTTTAAACAAAGGAAATCATAATTATGACAGTGTTTGGACACCTGATCTCTTGACAAAATTAATTAGTTAACATAACCTTTTTTGCGATTTCATAAATTTCTTCATTTCTCCTTAGTTTTGGTTTCAATTGAGAAGATATATCAAACACTCAAGACTGTGTTTGACAACATTTCCAAACACTTTGAAGTTTGTCAAAAATACTCCACTACATGTCGTATTTTCAACTCTCTTCTCTGTGTGTGGTCAAACATGGTATTTTGTGTTTGATATACTGCATGAATGATATCCAGGGTTCTCTAATGCATACTGAGTAGTTAATGGTTAATTCACATTTAACAGTTAAATCACTCACTCTAGTGCAACTCATTGCCACCTGAAACAATTTTTTTTTATGGTTCTCAGACATTAAAATCAGCTAGATAGCAACAGTCACATGCTTCATTCCACAAAATAGAAATCCTTCTAGTCAAGGCACGTCTCTGCATGATTTCCAAGCAGCAGACTATCCTACATTGTAGTTTAAGCTGATCAAATAAATGTGTACATGTATGTAGTTGATACAGTGAGTGCTCTCTGGTAACTACAGGCCTACAGTACACTGCACCATGACTACATATTTCCTCCCGGTAAATGTGACTGTTATAAGAACTCTTCAGTCTACCCAAGAGCTATCCAGTCTAAGATGACAGAAACTCGCAAATATAGAAAGTATGCTACTCAAGGCCTGTCTTCTTTACTATAGGTAACCTGATTTTTAAAATCATTGATTAATATTGGATTATTAATATTATTTGTATAAATATATTATGCTGTAATTTAACTTTACCTTTTAATGTAGTAATAAAGCTTGTTGCTGTTGTTAAAATGTCAGACATTTAAGTACTCACAGACAGCTATAAATTCAGGGAAGATTTCGACACAATTTAGTAGTACAGTGGAACCCCACCTTACATGACCACCCTGTTAACACTGCCAGATTTTTGTGGTCGGTTGGTGACCAAATCAATGGGGTTTCATTTTACTTTTTGTAGTACACTGTACTTACATGTTAACTCTGACATGCATGTATTTGATAGAGGTGAAGTGTTCTTAGTATGAACTAGATCATGAGCATGCTACACATGTGTGCTAAGGTACCTTAAATTGCATAAATTACGTGCCTATGAGGATTACCCTCCCCCACCCCACTGCCCAAAAAAAGAAAAATAACTTAAAGGATCTTTGAGGATCTTACGAGATCCTTAAAGACCTATTTAAGGTCCCTGTTGACTAGAATCACTTGAAAGACCTTGCAAAGATCTTTAAATGAATGATCTTGTATTAAAAGACCTTTGTAAGGATCCGTGCAAAATCTTAGAAGATCCCGAAGATTGTTAAGGATGGTGGTCAAGATCTTAGAAGATCCTGGCAAGAATTTTAAATTTCCTTGATGGTCTTGATAATGTTTTTTGTTTTTCTTTGAGAATTTTGATCAACAAGATCCTCGCCAAGATCCTCATGAAATTCTTCAAGGATCTTTGAAGATCCTTGAATGATTTTCACCAGCCGAGGGTTATTTAGGCACAAGCAGTTTGAGTTCCTTACCTTTTACCCAGCCCTGTGTGTTCACAATCAATGGAATTTTTCTCCTGTAGTTGTCAGCGTATGTTTGATATACACTGTGGATGCACTTGACATAAAACTCAGGTCTGTCTTTAGGAGAAATATCTCCAAAAAACACTGATCTGAAAAAGAAAAAGATTACCCTTAGTTACATACATTTACCACCAACTGCTTACAAAATGAGTAATCACCAGTTAGAGTTCTAAGGCTTGATTACCAGCCGCTGTTCGGGAAATGAAACTGCGTTCCTTTCCTGAAGGCTCCTTTCAGGGAGGAACGCAGACCGGACCTGAGAAATTAGTGGAAATCAAGCCTACAGTTACAGTTCTGGTAACACAACTCATAGCAATATTTTGTAAACAGTAGGAACATATGAACTCTGAAATTTATAACGTATTTTTACACTGCCATTGATTGTCAGTGGCCTAGTAATAATCTTCATGCAGCAGAGCAGGAAACTGATATTAAAACCCATTGTACAGCACAGGTCAGATGTACATGCAGGTAAAAGAAATTTAGTGTTTTTTGGGATATCGTGGAATTCCTGCATCATCATAATCTGGCTTTCAACACCTTTGGGAGGTGACATTAACAGACAGAAGTAGAAACAACAAGAACAACAACAGTATTATAACATTTAAGAGCTAAACCTGAGGTTAACATAAGACGATAATCTAAAAAGGATCCATGGGGAAAAGAAGAATAATTATATAATATTATGATAATTGTTGATAAATAAACAGTACACTAATTCTCATTTATTTTATAATTGTTAATTATGCAATAAAACATGGTCCATAAAAATTGTGTTGTTGAAACCAGAACTCTAAGATCATGACAAATTTCAGTCACTGACCTTTCTGGTTGTCTAAGATGAGTGAATGGAGGACCTGTTGGAAAGACAAGGGATGAAAATAAACAACACAAGAACAGCAAGAGTACATGTAACACAAACAAACAAACAAACAAACAAACAAACAAACAAAAGAGGAGGAAGGTACAATAAATTATTTATTAATATTCACGTGTCCTGGCTTACAGTCATAATTATACTCTGACTAGTGAGTAACAATGATAGTCCAATAGCAGGTTATTGCAAAGCATTTGATAGGTTGACCCAGCCAACCATTTGGTGAGACTATCAGAGTCAAACATTGCATAAGAACAAAACAAAAGGAACCAAGCAAGTGTTCAAACAAAGTTACTTGATTAACAGCTCTAAAAATGTTAACAGTTCTAAATTAAACAAGCAAGTTGATCATGTTAATTTCACACTTTCATTTTAATTTTCTGTGTTACAATACACATTGTTTTCCAACCATTGTATGTTCTAGTGCTTCATATTCATGTTGTTATTTAGTATTCATATATTCTATGAAAGTTCACATTTATATCACACTGACTAGCGGTTCATTTGTATTTGTAAACTGAAGATGGATGTTGGTCATGTGAAACACGTTTTGCAAATTTAAAACTTTGTGTTTTTATCTCAAAGTTATTTCTTGTCTGCTACTACGTTGTAGTTTGCAAAAATGACTAGGAGCATTTCTAGGTACTTCCCACTAGATGGTATGCTAACTAGTCCATCGCAGGGTTAACCCCCAGCATTAAGTTTGCCGGTACCCATTTATACAGCTGGGTGGAGAGAGGCACTGTACAAGTAAAGTGCCTTGACCAAAAACACAATACAATCTTTCCAGCCAGGGTTCAAACCCAGACCGCTCGATCCAGAGGCAATTGCACTAACCATGAGGCCAGCATGCCTTAGTCTGTAATCCAGGTATACATGTATGTTAGCCATTAAAGATGCCATTGAAATGATTCTTTAATAATAACCTACCCAACAAAGGTGTACAGACTCTGTTGAGAGATATTAAACCAGGTGGGGTGAATTCACTTTGGCCTACATCACACTCAAGGAAATAAAGTTCTTCTAGACTGTGGAAAAATACAAAATTAATGAAAAATAACTGAACATCATACATGACTGTGTACAATATACACGATTGTAAAACTAAAAAACCTTGAAGTAGGTCTGTCTTTGCTACAAGCTAATGCTACAGTCATCCACTGCACATGTACAGTGTACATGTACATGTATGCTAAGTTAGGCATTGATCATTTGATGCCCCACATTTAATTGAGAATGTTAAATTTTTATGATATGAGAAAATTTCTCAAGATTGTCTAATACATTAATTTTTGTATATATGAATTTTTCCAGACAATAAAATATCATGCCAAGGACATNGGTGCATCCTAAAATGGAATTGCTACACTTATCAAATGGAAATGCAATGTCATATATTAACTAAGAGATATATTTATTAATGATAATAAAATTTAATTATGAATCACAATCATATGGTAAGATTAACAATTCCACAACAAATACCTTGCCAAGATCCAAGCTGAAGATTTCCTCAAAGCTTGGAAAACTGCACACAAAGGTTGTCTCAACATTCTCAATAGCTTTCATCAGAAGAACTGACGCTGCCTTCTTTGTTCTTACCATAGCTTTCTTGAACACTTCCAAAGGCTGGCTCTGTAGAGATTCTTTTAACAACCTTTTTAAATCTGTCCTTTTCGTGACATCTGCTTCACTACACTCAGAAATTGTCAGAAGACTGGAAGTGCTTGGCGAAAAGATTTGTACTGCGTCATGGTTAGATCCAATGTTACAGCCAAATATGTTTACCAGCCCGGTTAAGGTTCTGATGAGAGCCATTCCTTTGATGCAAACTTTCTGCAAGCAAAATTAAATAAAAATTGGCAATCACGTGCAGAAATTACACTTTGGGAAAATCAACTGCCTGACAGATGAACCCATGTCAAATTCTCATGCAAAAATATGACACTTCTACATCCCAAGTTAACCATTTGCGACGGCTTTGGTACCATTAAAAAAAACCACACATTTTTAAAAAAGAAACACCACTGAAAAAAACACTATTTTATGATAGCTATAGCACCATTTAAAAAGCAAAATTTAATTACATAATTAGGTGTCATTTTCAGAAAGTGTCTCAGTCACTTTTGTCATCCATAGTAGTTTACAATGTAATGCCAAGCAAGTAAAGTAAGTA